TGATGGAAGAGAGTTGATGGGACAATGGTCTGGATCAGAAAATTCAGCCATCATGGGGAGCATTATTATCAAAAGTCAGAAACATTGACTGCTCAAAACTGTCAAATTTTCAAGCGGGGAAAGGAGTTTTGTCAGGTTTTGTTCAAATTGATGGTTCTCCATTAATATTTATGATGATGATGATTAAAATTTTCAGAAGCCAGAACATGACCACATTCAGACTCAGGCCAGGGGCACTTCTGACAAAAACACACCAAAAGGCACCCAATAGTACTATAGTGGGTTTGTCCGGGTTCTGGTTAGCAAGATCAAATGCTTATGATTAGTTGAATAATAAATTGCACCATTATTAGATAGAAAATACCAGAATCACACATAAAACTCATGTTAAAAGCTGGGACAAGCAGAATCAAAAATCCCCCAACTCAATTTTGGTCTGAAAAACCTCAAAAAACCCTCAAGAGACAACCCTTGTGGGGAAAAAGGTTTTATTTACCAAAAAAGCTCGCTAATGCACCCAGTGGATAGATCATAGGCATGGTCCTGATGCTAAACAAGGCAAGCTGGTCCGCCTTTCAAAACAAGGATGTGCCCCCAGCCTGCATTCAGACTTGATTATGTTTAATCAAATCAAGATGATTGGTTGACCACCAGAAGAGAAATTCACTTTTAGAGAAATGAAGTTGATGTTGAGTCAACCCAATTTGGGTGAAGTCAAATTATTGTCAACATTAATCAAATAATGTAACCATGGGCACCAGGTATTTTATATCAATATCATCATTTATTGTCAGGACCAACATATTCATAGAGTTGGCGTTCATTTGCAGTTGTGTCATGTTGCAGTAACAAACTCATTTTTTAAGCAAGTTGCATTTTGTAGTGTTCAAGCATCCTGCACACATCCCTCATATTTGCTATCACAAGTTTTGATTGACTCTGATTTATTGGCAGATTTCCCCACTTTGCTCGTCTGTGTAGCCTAAGCAACTACACCTATATCTGATTTTTGATATGTTCTATTGTTGTGTTGTCATAGGCAGCTTTTTTGGATTTGGATTACTTCAAAACTATCCTATAATGTCAAGCCACATGGAGAGTGTTATATACGGAATGCGAGACGTTCCAAAGTGACAATGCGAAATTTCAAAAATCAAAAATCACAATCCCCGGGTGCGAAATTCAAAAATCAAAGACAAAACTCTAGAAAATACTCAAATACAGGGATAAAACCCCTGTACCGGAGTAAAAATCATGGCATAAACACATTTTTGCCCAAATTTCCAGTGGTCGACACCGTTTTCATTGCATTGTCACCTTTCGACAAAAAGTACCAGCAACCCCAAGAACAAAAAATCAAAAACATAAAATACAGTTCTCAAACTGTACAACTCAAACACCAATGTTAGATTCTACCGCAGCCAAAAACCACATGTTGGCCAACTATCTACAAGCTCAGTCTCACAGGTATCAACACCTCCGACCGGAGACATTCTACCATCTGTCTCAAGAGCTTCAAAGTACCTGCTTCCTGTCTCGCTCTCCTCCAAAACCCTCTTCCACCATCATCAATCCTCTTTGATTGCCCTTGATCTTCTCCAATCATTGTCAACCGTCCTTGATCTCCCTCAATCTTCATTATCCGTCCTCAATCTTCATCTTTCTTCGTCAACCGTCTTTGATCTTCCTCAATCTTCGTCAACTGGCCTCGATCATCATCAATCTTTGTCAACTGTCCTTGATCTTCTTCTTTCTTCGTCATCCGTCCTCAATCTTCATCTTTCTTTGTCAACTGTCCTCAATCTTCCTCGATCATCTTCTTTCTTTGTCAACTGTCCTTGATCATCTTCTTTCTTCGTCAACCGTCCTCGATCTTCCTCAATCTTCCTCAATCTTTGTCAACCGTCTTCAATCTTCCTCAATCTTCGTCAACCGTCTTCAATCTTCTTCTTTCTTTGTCAACCGTCCTCGATCTTCCTCAATCTTCCTCAATCTTTGTCAACTGTCCTCAATCTTCCTCTTTCTTCGTCAAACATCCTCAATCTTCCTCTTTCTTTGTCAACCATCCTCGATCTTCCTCAATCTTCTTCTTTCTTTGTCAACCGTCCTCGATCTTCTTATTTCTTCGTCATCCGTCCTCGATCTTCTTATTTCTTTGTCAACTGTCCTCGATCTTCTCTTCTTTGACCGTCCTCATCAAATCACCTTCAGTCTCCATCACCAACTACACACCAACATGCCAGCAAAAATATCTGATGAAATCTTGCGACCCCTCGTTGAAGAAGCTGTGGCTAACAACTGGCCAGCACAAACAGTATGCGACACTGTTTGGCGACGGCACAACATCCGAGTCTGTGTAAGAACTGTTAGAAGACGAATCAAAGAATGGGACTTGAAACAACAAGGAAATTATGATGTGGAGGTTGTAAAGGATGCAGTAATAGATAATTACAAACAATCTCTTAACCAAAAGCGAGCTCTCATTTCCCTTAAAAACGAACACAACATCATCATCAGCCGGTCAACTTTAGCTCGACTTGAGAAGCAACTCAATCTTCACCGCCAAAAAGATGATCTTGACATGGGGGTAGTAACTTATGCCACCGTATGTAACAAGATTGAAGAACTTCAGATTGAATATGGAAATGTACTTGGAATCAAGAGTGTCAAGAAGATGCTAGCTCAGGAACACGAGGTTCACATCCACCGGCAAGTGTTTGGGCCTTCTTGATTCCATTTGCTCTGATGCTAATTACATTTGAAATCCTCTTTGAGATAGTGATGTTATTGCGGCTATGATGAAGGCAATGGACCCAGATGCTGTCAGAATGAGAGCTGCTCATAAACTCAAGCAACGGGAATACTATGCGGGCGGTCCCAATGAGGTTTGGGCTGCCGATGGACATGACAAGTTGATCAACTTTGGAATCGGTATATATGGATTCATTGATTGCTGGTCTCAAAAGATTTTGGGACTTCATGCTCATGTCACCAACAGCGACCCCCGCCATGTTGACTTGTGGTATCTGGGCCTTGTCAAGAAACAAGGTGGCATTCCCAAAAAGCTCACCACGGATTGAGGAACCGAGACTGTTCCTCTTGCTGGACATCAACTTTATTTTGGAGAAACTTACGGTTCCAGAGCTCCAGACTGGCCTTATCATCAATATGTCCTGTCCCCTCGTAACCAAAAGATTGAGTGCTTCTGGGACAAAATGACTTGTGGACTGACTGGAAATATCAAAGCTAAAATTCAAGAGCGCATTGATCAAGATTTATATAATGACAATGATCCAATGTCTAGGTGAAGCTCCTTTTTTTTAATTGGTGATTCCATGCTGAAATCTTTGTTATTGCTTTTCAGGACCTTGTTTCTCCACCTATTTATCCCCGTCTTTCAACGAGCTCTGGACAAATGGGTCAAGTTTTACAATGGTTTCTGCAGACGACACGACAAGCGGTCGAAATTACCTACTGGATGTTCTGCAGACTACTGCTACAAAAACCCCGTTGACGAATTTGGTGGGATTGAATACCTCATACCTGTCCCAGGTGAAGCGGTGGATGCTATCCTTGCTGATGATTACCCGGAGCAAGAACACTTGTGGAGCACAACCCCTGAGCGGTTTTCCCCGGTGGTTGATCAAGTCATGGAAGAAGTTGGAATTGTGAGCGGTGATTTGGACATTGGAAATTTTTGGGGTTGTTTTGATGTTGTATTAGCAAGATTGAAAGATTTGTCTTGGAGTAACACTCCCTTTGCCCGTGTTGAAGGTCATGATTCTATGGTTTTGGAAAACTGAGTATTCTATCTCACTATTACTGCATCTCTGTCTTGTAAACTTTGTAATGGTCAATAGTATGGATTGTTGTGAGCAAAGTAAACACACTACAAGATACGATACTCTTGTTTTCGGAAGAAGAACAAAAAGGACAGAAGAGAAGTTAGAAGGAACATGTGGTGAAAAGTTGTAATACAAATTCTACATATATTGTTGGACTGATTCATGGAACCCTTGAGCATCTAGGCATATTCTGCATAGCATGCATTCACATTGCCTATATCCTCCAAGACATCCATTTTGTGCCGTGGGTTGATGCAATCTTTAAGTTGATCCTTGGGAACCGACAATGCAATTACTTTTCTTGCTAGGGAAGCTTTCTTTTTCTGTACCTGAAGGGCGAACAAAAAGGTTTGCACCTCATGGTGAGTATGCTGCTTTCTTGACACCAGAGCAATTGACTCACATTGAATAGGTGCTGTTCAACCGATTCCCCTGCAACCACATGATACACCTTCACAGGGTGGGTCTGGCCTATTCGATGCACTGCAAACATTAATCAACTTCCCCAAGTGGGCAGGAAAAAATGATTGGGAGTATCATTTGTCATAAAATGATCTATCACTCCACACCTGATCCATAACACCCACACTACATATGTGTAGCAGGCTCAGTGAATTGGTGTTTATCATGTACATACAGTTCTGCTCAGTTATCTGCTCAGCAGGATGAGTTATTCATATGTAATACATGCTGTAACTTTTTTCAGATTGACAAAAGCATTCAAAAGATGGACTACATACACTGACTCAATGTTTTGGTGTAATCTCATCAACTCAACTGCATGTAATACCCTTTCTGTTACTAAGAGATAGCTTCAAAAATATTGCCTGAGCAGCTACAGAATTATATGTAGTGAATTCTTGGGACAATTTTTTCCAAGTCAAAAAAGTTACATGTGGTATAACATGTGATTTATATATTCTGATGGGCAAAAAACTGAGCAGACCTGTATGTACATGATAGAAAACTATTTACTTAGCGTACTGCACATATGTAGTGTGGGTGTTGAGGCTCAGGTGAGCGGTATTGGATCTTTTTATGACAAACTGTACTATTAATCAATTTCCTCTTCCAATGTGGGGAAGTTGAATGATGTTCACAGTGATGTAGACGGTCAATTGCTTGTTGCACAATCTGCGGATTCCAATGGGCATCCTAATGATATTCCTTTTAGCTAAATGTTAAGACAGTATATGGATAATTGATAACATTCTCACCATCAGGTAGACCTCATCAGCACATGTCATATTCAAGCCAACACCTCCAGCTTCGATAGATACTATAAAGGCCTCAATCTGGATGTTGGTCTGGAATCTGGTGAGTTGCCATGTTCTCTGCTGAGTTGTCATTCCACCGTGCAAGGACCCACTTGAAATGCCGTGACAATCCAATGCAATCATGATCCTGTGGGTTGATCAGGTGAGCGTACAGGACAAATGATATTCAAGAGAAAAAAATATTTACCACTCCATGAAACACCTCCATTGTGTATAGATAACAGTCTTCTTGGATAGACCTTTATGCAAAAGGCCCTGCTTCTTTTTGAGCTGGGAAACCAAGAATGTAAGCTTGCTGCTCAGTGACCAGTCCTCCAGGTAGGCTGGCCTGGCCTCCGCAGTCAATTCCCTCACGTCAGGCACCATGATTCCTAGCTCCTCCTCCATCTCCGTAATCTTGATCTGATTGAACTCTTGTTCTTGTTTGAATAAAAGAGGGTGATTGCACGTCATCCTGAGATTGCTCAATTGTCTGAAATATTCACCTTGTTTATGTTGGATTTGAGAGCTAACCCCAAATTCCCAAATAAATCTTTCATAATGTTGCTGATATACTTGTTTCACTTGAGGATGCATGTCCAATAAGATGGTCTCATGATATATTGGAGGTAAATCACGTAGGTGGCTAGCTTTTGTCCGCCTCAGCATAAAGTATCTTAGTAACTGGTTGAGTGTGTCCAAATTTCCTTGATGAACAGGCAGAGTGATTTGACGGTACCATACAGAGTCTTGGTGAAATGGCTTGATGCGCAGAAATTTGAAGAGCATGTGCAAGTCTCCAATTCGGTTATGGAGTGGAGTTCCAGTGAGACAGAGCCGGTTGACTGATTCCACAGAGGTGAGGACTGAATGGGAGCTGGTATCATTACGGATTATACTGGGACCAGTAGAGGGTCAGCTTGGTAAATGTTAACTTGGCAAAAGTAGTTGATACTCACTGAGCTTCATCAATGACCACTCTGTACCACCTGGTTGTAAAAGGGAGGCGGGTTAATCCAGCAAGCCGGTAGTCATATAAAAGTGTGTTGGGGGTTGTAAGGATGATGTCAGCTGAGTGGATATCACGTAGAGGTAGTTTGACTCTGTCTATGCCATGCCAGCGCATAATTTTCAAACTGTTTTTCTTAGTGTGTTTTTCGACTTCATTTTCCCAGTTATCCATGAGACTAGTAGGACAGATCAACAGAGTGGTGTGAGATGGACGTAGGTGATTGTTTGCGTGGTTGAGATCTGATGCTGAATCCTGATGTTTGAATTGTCTTGATGCTTCCAGTGTGGTAGCAATCAAAGAAATAGTTTGAATAGTTTTACCAAGTCCCATGTCATCCGCTAGAATTGATGCCCTAGGGCTGACTGGTCTGGTTTGTGTGTCAGTCACAATAAATTCTTCACCACAGAGACGGTGACTCCACCGGCTGAAGGGTGGCATTGATTTGTAAAACCAAAGGGAGTGATAAGTTGTTGAATCTGGATTTTCGCGGTCTATCAAAAAGGCCAGGCCTTGCTTCTGATGTGGTTGTAGCTGAGAAGTAACTATCGCCGAAGGATTGACTGGCTGAAGATCTGAACCACATGAAATGGACGCAAGCGTTGTGACCTCTTCCCTGGACAACACATGATCAGGAAATGCTGAGGCCCAGTTGGGAGTGGTCTGTGCTTCTAGATCCACCAGAGGGATAAGTTGATGTTCTTGAGGCTTGTAATGAGGAGGACGGTGGAGGTTGATTTTGAAGTGTCTGACTGTCTGGACAATGCTTCCTTCGTACCACTTTGGGATGAATATAAGTACATTGACTTGCAATTGAGTTGCATCATGCCCATCAAATTCTACAATAGCAGTGTTGACACTCGAGCGGATGAGAACTGGATGACTGGGGTCAAATATTGTACTAGGTTTCCATCCGCCAGCAGGTAGAGCTTTATATATACGAGGAGTTGTCCCAAGCAGCTTAAAGAAACAACTATCAACACCGGTAGGGACATACCCCAATGAAATACCAGTTGGAAGATATAAACTGATCTCTGGTGTGATATTGGTGTGAGCAGAGACCTTCAGGAACACAGGTGACTGATGGGGATGTTCCAATTTGGCCGCAGTGGAAGTAGGTGATGCCACGTTGAAAGATATCATCCCAGCACATACTGGTTGGCTTAAATTTTGTTGAGGTGTGACAAACATGATGACGAAATGAAGATGAAGAGGATAAAAATTGGTAGATTGGAATGAGGGACAATATACTTTGAGGGCATGAAGCTCACTTTATATGAGCTCAAATGTGCTGTGCGGATTTACACAATTTACCTCATAATCAAGGATCTCACAGATCCACGCACAAGCTCCTGATATTGATGCAAATCCCATGTCACATGTTCCATCAGGGGATGAGGGGCATAGTGGGTTCCCCTATGCTGCATTGCAGGTGCCGCTCATTGACTTGATAAAAATTTCTCTTTGTTAGCCTCAACCTGATGACGCGGAACATGAGGATAATATTCATATGATATTTGTCTTATCAAAATGTTTTCAAACACATGGTACTGAAACTGTGTGATCAATTTTTTTTTTGATTGAAAAAGGGAAAAAAAATTGGATGATGAGTCTCATACCAAACATTGCTTTGGACATGATTGAACTGCAACTGTTGCGGTAAAACCCTAGATCCTTGACC